AGGCTTTGAAACGGAGGCAACAGCATATTGAAGGGTAAATCTAAGTGGTCATAAAATGATTCACAATGTAGAAAAGCAGAGACACCAGAGTCTCATCTTTTCAAGGCTCAAGACACTATCAAAATTAAATAATCTGAGAAGGGGACATACGTTTCATAGAGCTCATAGGTCATATACAGCCTGTGGGTCATGCTCGGCTGTTAAAAATATGTGCAAATCAAGTGCTAGATCATCAGTTAGATCATCAAACAGCATCTGAAACCGCAACAGTAATCTGACAATCGCACCCAACTCACAGATCGACTTGTCAGGTGTGTGCAGGCGTGACAGTTGGCAGGGTTTGAACTTCTCTCTCAGCTAGTTCCATCATGTTCTGTGAGAACAGCTGAGTTTGCATGATTCACAGTTGTTGGGGAGACGTGCGGCTATGTGGAGGCTATGACAGCAGGACAGTGTGGACAGAGGCCTTAAAGGTCACACAGTGTGCTAAATGAATACGGATTGATGGCAGAGAAAAGCCTGACTGCCTGCTTCACTAAATGAATTGAAAGACGCATTTTAGCCATTATTTCTCGGTTTCTATTATTCCCCCTCATGTATTGATTTAATTACAAATTACAAAATGTTCCTAAACATGGGGAGGATTAAAGTGATAAACGTGACTGCAGATTTTCAGAGTGTAATTGTTCGACTTGTTGGTGAAATGTGGGGCAACATGCACAAGTCACAGCCATTTCAGTAGCACCTGCTTTACATGCCCATGAGCAAGGCAGCGAGCCTTTGGTCGCTGCAGCAAAGCTCCAGAGTCTGAATGAGGGGAAAGTGGATGGTGATGTTGCTGACAAATGTGACACCAGTCAGATTTTCTTGGAATAAGTAAGGGTTAATACACACACACACACACACACACACACATATATACACGCTGGTGTTGCTAACGTTTCCAGTGCGTTGGCTGTGGTTTTGGCTGCGGCGAGGGCCGAGCCTGAGATCAACGGAGGGCATTGTTACCCCGAGCGAGAGAGACGAACCATTCTTTCCACTTTCCATTTCAGCTCTTGTCTGTTATTATTTTTTGTGAGGGCCAGCTCGTCTTTCCAGCTGTTGTTGAAAGTGATGAAGGCTAACGTGTTTCATGTTTCAAGTCATAAATGAATCCCATTCGATCAGCGGCATTGGGTTAGTGTCTCTGACAAACCAATCTATTATGTGTTTATGATGGTTTGTAGAGAAAGATTTACTACATTATTTACAGTTCTTGGAGTGACAAGGCTCCAACTTACTCATGATTTGTCACAGTGAGAGAATCCTAAACACAAAACCATGTTAACTTGACTTTTCAGGCACTGTATTGAATCTCAGCATCAGTGCATGAAAAGTATGAACTTAAAGCTCCATACAGTCTAAAGGTCTCTGTCCATGTGTAGTGTGATTATAGATCAGGTCTAGGTTCTATATTAATACTGTGAAAGTATCAAAGCCTCAGTCCACAGAGAAATGCACACAGCCTGTATTCAGAAACTGAGCCTTAAAACCAGCTGTCAGGACTGTAATTTGATGTCACAACGGAACAATCACCACCATCAGCCACGCCCCAAGCCCCGCCCACTTGGACTCAGCGTCCAACCTTGCAGGAGTATTTTACCTGAAATCTGCTATATTTTTATTTGACCACTCAGAAACCAGTCTGCCAATCAGAAGAGAGGTTCAGAGCCTCCTCTCTTCTAACTGGCTCCCCGACCTCTTGTTACTCGAGCTCCAGAGAGAAGCCTGAGAGAGGAGATGTAAAAGTTCATTGAATTTTTTAGTGTTGAAAAGCACAAATATATCTTCTTATGGATCAACACTTCAAGTAAAACACAGGGAAAGTGTAAAATATGGAGCTTTAAAGGGACAATACGATACAATGCTGTACATGCAAACTGAGGTACAGAGTTTCTGATGGCCTGTGCACTCTGAACTCCCTGTCTACCTTCTGATACAAATACATTTAAAATATATTGAAATACTTGGCTGCTTTTTCCTTAAAAAACAAAATGTGACTTTTTCCAAATCTGACTTGCAAGATTATTCTGCATGTGTGTGGTTTCTAGTACTAAAGTTGGTTCTTTGTAAAAAACCTTAATGAATGTGGGAATGGGTGTCAGTTGTGGAATTTGGTGCAATGCTGGCTCGGCGGAAGTGAGAATTTTCAGGCCACTTCTGTAAAATCCAATCAATTGGCACTCTTTTGAATCACACGATTGATTGATTGATTGATTGATTCCTCTTTGGGCTGCTGAACCTTTAGCTACCTGCACGACTTGTCTTGTCCCGTCTCATCTTTGTTTTCTCCTGATTCCTGGAGTGCAATCTTTTGAATATGATTCCTAAACTATTCTTCTTGTCCTCTTGTCGCCCTAAAAAAAAGTCTTGGTTTTGTCTCCTGAATCCTTAAAGTCCTTGTAACCTTCTTGAAAACTTGGTCTTCGTCCTCTTCATCGTCTTATCTCCTCGACTCCTCAGTCGAGAGTAACTGTCAAGAATGCCCTTCACTGTCATCTCGACTGTTTGTCCTTGAATCCTACTTACTAGCCTCCCGATTCCTAATGGTAGTAGGTGATTGCCTTCTTTATCTATTGACCCTTGTCTTGTCTATTACCCTTTTTTTATGGCCCCCTTCCTCTCATCTTCTTTTGTCCTGTTCCCTTGTGTCCACGTGTCTATTAGCCTCAGCCTCTGATTGATATTACCTTACCTTAGCAGCTTCAGTGGAGGTTATACCTTTCTCAAAGTTCATGAATGTATCATCCTCCCATCACCTCCAGTCCTGGGCTGCAGCTCTACAAACTGTAACCTGGTGCTGACGGAGGTCCAGGGGAGAATCACGTCGCCCTGCTATCCCCAGAAATACCCCAATTCACAGGCCTGCAAGTGGACCATGCAGGCACCCACTGGTTTCATCATCCAGCTCTCCTTCCTGGAATTTGACCTGGAGGAAGCGCCTGGCTGCATCTATGACCGGGTTGTGGTGAACACAGGAAACGCCGATGTTAAGTTCTGTGGTCTGACAGCCAACGGACTGACTCTGAACTCGACAGGGAACGTGATGGAGCTGTCCTTTACCTCCGACTTCAGCGTGCAGAAGAAGGGGTTCAGTGTTAGCTTCCGACACGGTAGGTCCAGGCTGAGACCTGCTCTTCAGGTCTGAAGCTGTTCAGACGCATATCAACAATATTATGAGCTATAACCTGCTCTCAACAGGAATCTGATGTATGTATCACCTGCTGGGGTGTGCAGAAGGTGAATGTTGATCTTATTGTAGAGCAGCATGAATAATAAAGCTGTTAAAAACAGTCAGCTGCAATCTGAGTCCTCAGATCTCAGCTTTTCAGAAAACAAATGTATCTCATAGGGTTTCAAAATGTTTCAGAAGATCAAGGGGATTTGGTCAACACATAGAGGAGAATATAAATCATTTAAGCGCCACTGATCAATATTTTTCAAAACAACAACAGATCAAATCCAAAATCCCCTGTCCACTACCTGCTCAGCAGCAAACAGCAGACAGACACAGTCAGAGAGCAGCTGGTGAACAGAGTGGAGCATTTAGCAGTAAAAGAGCCAGACATTTCCCTCAGGAGGCGGTGGAGACCAAAATCAGAGCTAAAAGAGAAGGAACACTGCACCAGTTTTATGCCAACACATTAGGTATAACAACATTAATTGTTTTAGAGCCGGCATGTGTTTGATTTTGGGATGGACAAGTTATCCCAACATGGATTTTTACATCAACCAGAGGCAACTGGTGTAGGATATGAGCCAAACACACAACTAAAAGTTTTCATTTTCATTCTACAGGTGTTGTTGTGTCACCAAATTTAGTTTGGTCAGTCCTTCCAAAAATGGAACTTCAGACTTGATGTAACTGATAAAGGTCACTCAGTCAGAGGTGTGTGTTTTTAGCTTGTTGTTAGCCAAAGAGAATCATTTCCTGCAGCTTTAATTTGAGTTTGAAACCACAGAGATCAGTGGATCAGCATCAACCAGCATCAGCCAGTCCAAGTAACGACCTACCAAAGATCGCTTTAACACCAGTATCTGGTTTGGTGTTTTGGTGCATCTGTGTGTACGTGCCCTGATGCGCGTTTCGCTGTGTGTTTGTATGTGTGAATGTGTGTGAGCGGTGTTTTTCCATTGCACACTGGCTGTTAGTTTTTTGTGCTCGTCCAGCAGCTCAGTCAGACTCGTTCTGCCGGGAAAAGCTTTGTGACAAAAACCTCTGATTCATCAATACTTGTGGATGGTTTGTGTGGTATGAAGTGCGAGTTAAAAACCAAACCCGGACAGTGCCTTGCTATTTAAAATTAAACCATTTAGCAAAAATGTTTATTTATAGTGTGAAGCAAACATAATGTAAAACTGAGGCTGATGCATTGAAATGAAAAGTCACTACAGTCATAATCAGCTGTATCAGTTAAAACTAAGTTTAGAATTAGACATTTAGCTGATGAATGAAAAAATTTTTGTTGATTTTTCCACTTGTGATTTTTCTATTTTCACTTCTCCTTTCGGTCTTTTGATCTTTTCTCGATGACTTTCTTTCATCCTGGCTTCTTTTCTCACTTGTTTCTCTTCTTGTTCATTTCTTTCTCTGCCTTCATTGCATCCTCCCCCTCTTTGTATAATTAATTTCCTTTCTTTCTTTTTCTTTTGTTCTTTTTCTTTAATTTCTTTCCATGCTTTCCCACTTTCTTTTTTATTTGTTCTGCCTTGCAATTCTTTTCATCTTTCCTGTTTTTATTTTATTCTCATTCCTTTGTTACTACTTTTCTACTTGTCTTTCTTTTATTCTTTCACTTTCCTCATTCTTGCTTTTCTTTCTCAACTGCTTCTGTCTTTCCTTCCATCCTAACTTTTCCCTTTCCTTTTTTTTGTCTTTCTGTCCTTCCCGCTCCTTGCTCTCTCTCCTGTCTTCTCTCCTACCTTCTTCCTTCTCTTTTTCCATCCCTCCCTTCTAGTTGCTGTGGCTCTGAGGAACCAGAAGGTCAAAATATCCGGTGGCAACGGCCATGTCACCAAGGTCGCCAACTCAGTTTCCATACCAGCGCTCACCCAGCTGACCCTGTGCTTCGAGTTGGAACGCAATGGCCAGAAACAGGTATCACACAATCTGCTGATGAAAGATGTGTATGGCTATGTAGCTATAGCAAAACTTACAAATTGCTCCTTCAAAGTCCCTTGAGGAAAATTTGCAATTTGTAATATTGGTCCTATCTTTAAAGTTTTACCAGCAGAATGTCTGAAGGTGTTAAATAAATTGAAAAATTAAGCTCTGGGAAGCTAGGACGTGGACCTTTAGGTTTCAATTACTTCCCAAAAGTCAAGAAGGAACGTTCACACTCTAACAGAGTTCTCTTGGTCCCTGAACAGAAAGAGTGGATCTTCACCTACTTTGACACAAATAGCAATGAGAGGCTGGGTTTGGGCTGCAATCGGGCTGGCCTCATGACGATGATCGTTGATGGATTGATCTGTCCGATCAACGATATCATCTCCACCTCTGACATCACTTCTACCATGAAACGTTTCTGTGTGCTGTGGACATCGTCAAATGGCCACGTGGGGGTTTTTTTCAATGGAAACTACAGGTTCGAGTCCTGCTCCTCCTCCATTGGGCGCACTGTCCCGGGGGGTGGACAGTTCCGGTTAGGAGGTAAGTCCGGGTTTGAAGTTTTACTACTATTAACTTTTATTTGAATTTACGATGTCCGACATGACTTGTTAGCTATTAAAGTCAAATGATATTTTGTCATGAAGATGCTGCATCCAAGAGGTTTTGTCACCTACAAAACTTTGATTTCGGGATCTCTCGACTTATGTGGTTCAATTATGCTGAAACAAAGCTGTCTACAAAACCTCTAATTCATCAAGCAAAATGAAGACCTAACCTGTAATGAGGGGTCACAAGAATCCTGGCTGCAGACATCTGAATCCCTGTCCACATCTTTCTGGTGTTAGTGTCTTGGTGTTCCACCCAAATGGAGAGACAACCAATCTAATTTGAGAGCTCTGTAGGAGGGTAGAACGTTTTGAGAGAGCCGTAAAAATAGTGACAGAAACATGGCAACAAGCCTGGATGAGATATTTGCAGCTCCTGTAAGTCCACTTACAGAAATAAAAACTCTTAAATCAACGTATTTCTTTGATTGACATGACAAATATTAGTCAATAAGTACAATAAGTCTTCTGCTATGACTGAAAGTAGTACCCGGTGGACAGAAAATGTCAGTCACTACCAATCGGTTTGGACAAATAGCTCCGCTATAAGACAGACAGCAGGTTACATGAACATGAGGTCACACGGAATAATAACGGTGAGGCTTAGGACACATATTGATGTTTTAAGGGTTCACAAGTCAAAATGTTTGGGAACAGGTGCCAGCAGGAAATATCAGCAGGAGTTGTTATGCTATGCTAGTTGTTCACTTGTAGCTCTGCCGTCCATTTCTGAGCAGCCGAATGAGACTGGAAACGTTGAATAGGTAGCTACAGAAAATGAATCTGGAACTATCACAATGATTGGATGGTCGAAGCAAAGATGCCAAACACCTAATGGTAACAGCTTCTTAAATGTGAGGATCTGCTGCTTCACTATGGGATTGTGATTGAATATCTTCGTGTTTTTATTTGGTTTAACAAAACAAGTCATTTGATAGTGTCACCGCAGGCTTCAGTAAATTGTGATGGGCCTTTTAACTATTTCTTGACATTTTACAAAGCAAACAGTTCAAGAAAATGATCTGCAGATTAAGTGGTAATGACAATAATGGTTGGCTGCACCTGTAGCAGGGAGCTTTTGTCACAAAACAAAGCTAAAAGACACAAGTTTTAACATTTGCCGAAATGAAACCACAAATGATCAAGCTCATATTGGACAAAGAGACGAGAAAAAAAGTGATAAAACAAGTGGATTATGATGATTATCAAGGACTAATCATAGATAAATGGTGCACTTAGACTTTGTGGAAGTGTATGTGTTTTTATTGTATTAAATACTGGATGTGAATGTTGACGATGATGGCACTAGAGGAAAAGTCGAAGGAGGAAAAGTAGGCGGACATGAATGTCTGAACCAAATTTGACAGTCCATCCAGTAGATATTAGATATTTCAATCTGGACCCAAGTGGTGGATCAACCAACCAGTCAACCACCTGACAGCCTGTAATTGCCACGCTAACTGAGAATTTGAATCCAGTGTTGCCATAAAACAATCTGCTGATTGATTAACATTACTGCATTACGGTCTTCAGAGAACCAGAGATGTTAACATGATGGATCTTTGTGTTCAGGGCAGAGCAACTTTGACGGGAACATCTACAACCTGCGGCTGTGGGATTATGCCATGACAGAGCAGGAGCTCAAAGCGTTGAACTGCAACAATGAGGGGAACATCATCGACTGGGACAACAGACACTGGACCATCCCCTCCACTCTGGCCCAGACCGACACCTCACTCAGCTGCAGTGAGTACAGCAAATAATCAGTCTGCTGCTTCCCTTAAATCGCTGGAGTAACCAATGTGGATTAATCCGCTGCTGAAAATAGTCCCCAGCATATACAATGTGTAACGTTTGATAAAAACTACAGTGAGCAGCTGTTTTAGGAAATTACTGATACTTTTTAAAAAATGAGAATATATATTTATGTGATGTTTTTAAAGAGTTACGTCTTAAGTGGGAACCAATGGTCTTGGAGCAAACAGATTGTTGCTTTTGGACTTTTCATAGGATTTGTTGACAATAAGGAAAAAATCTGTGCACAGTCAAACTAAAGCAACAATAGACCCATCAATATTGAACTAATCTATACAAAATAATACAAGGGGAGCTATTCTCTATTGCCATGTAGCTGCAGGTTCACCAAGTCATTTTTATGATTTGAGGAATGAGAAACATTTGTCACTTCTCAAGTAAATCTTCAAAGTCCTTAGTTATCTGTCTGATATTATTAACTGTGCAATAATAATAGAATTTTATAGTTTTACACCAAATGTAATAAACAGTCCAGAGCAAACATTATTATAATGTGTAGCAGTAAATAAAGTCAGTGAATAAGCTCATAGTAATTAAAAGCATTAAATAAAAATAAGCAAAAACATGTACAAAACTGTTTTCTCAAAATTGCTTCTCACACACACACACACACACACACACCCAGTCTGTTTGCTATCATGGTGGAAAATTACAACCAGACTTCAGCCAAATTCTGGTAAATTTTGACTGTGGCTGGCGAGTTAATTGACTCCAGCACTGAGTTTGGCTGCTGACCTGACATCATTCTGATTCCTGCTCCGCTCTAAAGACCCAATTGGCTGGTAAAATACACTGAGAGTTCATGGTGAAATTCCTGCACACACGCATACACACACACACACACACACACACACACACACACACACACACACACACACACACACACACATACTGTATTGAAATTGATTTCAATTACTTATTTATTGCAAGATTTTTCACAGTATTTATTAGTGCATTAGCATCAAAAATGCATTATGCACAAAATCTGAGCACATATACATACACACACATACACAGACACACACATGCTTGCACAAGTTACCACAGACACTCTAGACACACTTAAAACCTGAAACCAAGTTTACATAATCAACCATTTTCTCACCATATTTAAGCATTATCCATGAAAGAGAGTGTAAGAGTACACCCTGTGTGTGTGTGTGAGTGTATGTGTGTGTGTGTTTGTGTGTGTGTGTGTGTGTGTGTCTGTCCACAGAGTAGTACTTCTTATTTAAAAGCGCTGTAAATGAGTGTGTAGCCACAGGAGGTTAGCCACAGTGGTTTCAGTGCAATTCGTGCCAGCACTGTACCCAGTGCAGAGCGGGCCTGTGAGTGTGTGTGTGTGTGTGTGTGTGTGTGTGTGTGTGTGTGTGTGTACGCATGCTTGTATGCCTCAGAGACCTGCAGTGGTTTTCAAGAAATGCATGATTCTGCACTTAGTTTCCTGATTCTCTTGTACGCACATACACATCACACACACACGCACACACACATAGTAAATGGCCCACAGCTGGGGAGTTCACATGAGCTTTCCTTACTTTACATGAAATGTGATCTGCTGTGATCCACGCTGAGAGAGACACATTATAAACCAGAGTATGAATGAATTCTTTGATGTTGGGCTTGTGTTTTTTACAACAGTGAAACACAGTGTGGTCTGATTGAATCGAACAACACAACATAAATAACACAAAGCAAAAGAAAAACTGAAAACAAGACATTTGAACAAGATGTGACACAAAATTTTAAAAAAAAAGATAAAACAGAAAATAACATGCTGTGCTGTGAACCCATGCACATGTTACTGTATGTTTACACAGTATCTTTGAATGTTAGTAAAGATATATGTGTTTTTTTAGTTTATGAGTTGTGGTCATTAATGTTCTTTCTTTCTTTCTTTCTTTCTTTCTCTGACTTCTCTCAAAGACAAACACACTTTCACTTTATTACATTTAAGAGTGGTGCGTCCACAATGATGCTGCACTGCCACCAGAGTTTTCTGATGGTAAAATAATTGATGTTGGACTCAGTGTGGATTCAGTATTTCTGATGTACTGCTGATGTGTGATGTAGGAGCCAGGTTTTAAAACAAATGTGTTTTTCTCTTCAGTTAAACTGAATTGATCAGAAGGAAAGAAGCACACACACACACACACACACACACACACACACACACACACACACACACACACACACATCATTTTCTTAGTTTGTATTTTGATGTTTCCTACGTCTCTCTCTTTCTGAGGGATCTGTTTAATTCTTGGATGTCCGAACCACCTTCATCTTGCGCTTGTCTGTCTGATGACCTCTGACCCTCCATGATTGCTTGAATCACTATTTGCTGCTGATTATTGATCATTAATGAATGGTGTAACTGACACTGTGACTTTGTCTTGTTGTAATGTGTTCTCAGGCCACCGTTTTCTACTCATTTTGTGGCCTTTTTTTTAACCGATCGCTTCATCCACTAATTGAACCTCTGATCAATGTGATTAAAAACTGTGTTTGATGCTGATGTTTTTGACCATCGACCGCTTTGTTTTGACTGATGTCCACTAATCTGTCCTTCTCTTCACAGTCTGCTACCCTCATTGCATTCACTTAACTACTGCTGCGCCAACTAGTGGTGAGTGCTGCTAACAGGCTGCTCATGTATGTTGTATGTCTGTGTGTGTGTGTGTATGTCCTGGAGGTAGGTATGATTCGGCTTGTGCTAACTGAGCTATGATGCATGCAGAGAATGTGCAATAATCTCTTTAAAAAAGTGCTAAATGCTGAAGTAAAATAAAATAACTTAATAAAATATTAAATATGTAATAACCTAGGTATCCATTGTAGTGTGTACGCTGACAGTAAACAAGGCTTTCAGGTGGTTTGACACTCCGACAGCCATGTTGGAGCCTCAGCTCTTCACCGGCATTGGACATCCAGTTGTGGCTCTAGTCATATTCTCAGGTTCTCTGCTTGTTGCCACTCATTGTCTGCCGTGTCAAACACTGTGTCGTCCTGGTGCACAGACTCCGTCCATGTGGATGCAGATGACAGTTTTTACAACACCACCAACAAACTGTCAGTCAGAAGAAGCTCCTTCCTGTCAAAGCGCTGTAGGCCGGTTTTGAACTTTTCATGCGACGACGTGGCCCCAGAGTTACTGCTGACAGGCTGAAGTCTGGATTGTGGTGTTAAATAAAGAGCACAACTTGACTGTGCAGAGGTGAACGGAACCTGCTCTTCACTGTCAGTGTAGAGACGCCAGCTATTGACAGGGTTTGCTGTTTGATAGCAATTTGTCAAATCTGAATCCGAAACATAACAAATCTAAATGACAATCAGAGTGTTTCCTTCTTCGCATTTGCTAATGGAAGACTTGATTCTAGATTTGCAAGACTCCAACTTTTATAAATATGTAAAAGAGTCAGAACCAAATGGACTCAGTTATCAAGTTATCAATGACCAACCAACCAGTACTGGAATTTGCATGTGTGAAGAGATTTGTGACTGGAGATTGTATCATTTAGTTAGTTACTCTGTGATTTGGTATCATTCCTTGAAAATTTAACTATAGAAAGATGGACGTAGCTTCCATGATGTCACCCACAGGTTTCCAAAGAGCAGTTTTGAAGCTTAGAGTGGGCTGCTCCGTCGTCGCCATCTTGGCAGTGTCTAACTCCTGGCTAATCCAAAAATAACCAAAGAAGTGTGGAGCCAAGACTTTGGTGCATGCTGGTTTGTTTGGTCCAGCGTCAGTATGATATGACTTGTACCCATGATCTCTGTGATGATGGTCACCTGGAGATGAGAGACAGGACTGCAGACATTTCATATATCTCGTTTCTTTGATCTTGTTTGTGAGGTTGGATTTCATCGCCTCTGTGATAATATTCAGTGGTTAAAGTAGACAGAGGAGTAAACACTAAATTCAAACATCAGTGAGTTCAGTCAGCAGGTCTGAATTTCCGCAGGCAGCAGCAGTTGTAGGTTTGTGGCTGTAGTGTTCAGGGTCGATGGCAGGTTAGAGATTCACAGCTGTGTTTGACTGCTTCATCGAAGAGGCGCTTTAAACTGAACAGCACAGACACACGGCCTGAATACATGCAAACACACACATGCACTGTCTCAGACATGGACACACACCTCTGTTACAAGCTCCAACCAGGCAGCAAAGGGCCGACTGTGGGTTTCTGTAGCCTTCATCTGATCTCTGTTAACTGGACGCAGAAGTCATGAGGTATCTAGTGCTGAAGTGATTAGATTGTTAATATATTTGAGAATGAATTTTGATAATCAATAAAGGGTTTGGTACTTTTCGAGCAGAAACTCAAACTCTGCATTGGCTGCATTGATAACAGAATCAGTACTAAATAGAAATGAGATGAGCCTTAATTGATCCCTGCAGGGACCCTGGGTAATTCCAACAGCAGGAAACAGAAGCGGAGGATTAGTTTGGGAAAACAAAAGGTGATGTATTGACTCCATAGTCACAGCTGTCTGCTCCTCAGAGATTAAAAATGATCCAGGTTACAAGTTTTTTTATTTGCAGGGAGCGTAGGAGCAGAAGGTTCAAATACAGGTCACAGGATATACTAACAGACAGGACACTGAGACAAATGTGAATGAATAAACATAAAGGAGTCGTACAGAGCAGTGGAACAGGGCAACACTGAGAGGAAACAAACACTTTAGGGATGGTCTTTTACTCTTTGAACCTCTTTAGATGGGAGTTTATAGAGCTCCAGGAAGGATTATACCAGATAGGTAAGGTCCTGTTTGAAGCCAGATGTGTTTTGACAGATGGTTTTACAGAGCTCACAAACTTTAAACATTTTCCATTCTTCAATAATGGAAGTTATATAGCTGTTCCTGCTTCAGCTGGCTGACTGTTGTTTTTCTCTGTAATGGCTTTGAGGTTTACTTTCTTTACTGCGTTT